AACTGGAAAATGTGCTCTTTCGTCTATTAAACTCACACAGAAGACACCAGTGGGGCATGGCCTACTGACTCTCTAATTAGATCATTTTAACCTTAAACAAACCGAAGGTAGTTTTTCTACAAAATCCTGGCAAAAACCTGTCCGCCAGGGACAGGGACTTAGAAAATGTAGGTAAATTAAAAACAGGTTTGTCCTCTTATCGTACCGGGGAAAGATGCGAGTAAATATAGTACCTCCAACAGGAAACCAGGCTAATTAAAATATGCTACGTCTCATGATTTAAGGAGCAAAAAAAGTGATTGAGTTTCACCTTGATCCGATTCAGGGGGACATTTGTAATTTTATAGTGCTCTCCATTGAAGACTTTCTTTAAAATGTGAAGAAGTGAAATAATTGTGACCACTGACTTTTTTTTTAAAGTAGGAAAAAACTAGCTAAAATCTCATCAACAGCTCGTGAAAAAAATGTATTTAAAACATAAACTTACACTTATATTTCTCATTCCTTGTAATCAAGAAGCTTAATATGCTCTTAATGTTTCCTGCCTGTATGATGTTGGTGATTTTTTTAGAGCTAATGCTAATGCTAACTTCTATCGCTATATTCATGTGAAGTCTCTTAAATCGTCCACTTGAAAACATTTCTAGGTTCTTTAATTACAGGAGAACAACTTATAATTTTCAGTTAAGAACACAACATTAGGAGATTTTATTTTATACATACTTTCTCAACTCTTTATTCTTATCCTAAAAGAATAGACACCCAGATAAACCAAGCTGCAGAATCCAAATTACAAGCAGGCTTTGCTTTTATCCAGAGACCATAAACTGAGGAACACCTGAGACAGTAAAACCCTTAAAGTCAGGGCCAGCCACCAGAGAGCTCCCTATGTAGTCTTATTAGCATATTCACCATATTCTTCTTTGTTCTCCCACTTGTACGATTCTGAGAAGTGCGAGCGAAAGCGATCTTTGAGTTCTTTTCTTTTCATGTCTGACACTATTAGCTCTGATTGTGAAGCACGACTGAAGCACATTACAAGCAGGACTTTTTTAGAACCAGCAATTTGGAGCAATTGTTCCTGGATCTCCGGACACACTTTAACTTTCACTCACTGGAATAATTGCAGTCGGTATTGAAAAAAAATATTTAAAGCCCTTTCTTCCGATAAAAGTAATAATTTGCAATGAGGAGAGTATTGACGAGCCCTTTATTTCTAAGAGTTTTCATCCCTGGTGGTGTGCAGTCTGTTTTTATTTGACGTTTAGGAATTGATGCTATTTGCTCTGAAGATGGCTCTGGGAGTTGTTATTCTTATTTTAGCACCGGGTCTTAAAGTGAGCCTTGAGAAGCACGCACAGTTATCAAGTTTAAGGATTAAGAGCGGCTTTTTTGGGTTTGCAGTTATCACCTCGTCACTTTTTACCGACACCGCTGATGCTGGGGTGTCCTGATGGCCTGAGCAGTTGGGAAAACAGGCTGCAGACTCTTCCGGTCCGGGCCTGAGACAACGCCAGACCGGGATGTTTCCACTTAGGTAGTTTCCGTACAAAGACACAGCTGTTTCTCGGATTTCTTAATCGGAGCGGACATGTGTTTTGATAATGACACATTCTCTGTAATGCAGCCTGACAAAAGCTCAGGTCTTCTGGAAAAGGGGAGTCTATCTTTCCCTGTTTTCTTAATAACAAGAGCTCCGTGGTTTTGTTGACACTGAGCAGCTGCTTGTTCTCCGCGCCCGGCACAGCGAGATTGTTCATTTCCTCTTGATATCAAGTCTCGTTATTGTTCGTGAGAGAACCAACCGCGGGGCTGACAGCAGACCTCCGAAAATAGTCTTCTGACTCTGTGCGTCTGCAGTTCTGGCTGTGTAAAGCGAAAAGGGAGGGTCTGAGCACACGACCCAGCGGGATCCCACTGCCCAACACCAAAGGAAAAGCTGTGACCACCAGTCTGAAATGCCAGAAATCTTGTTGATAGGAAGTCCGAGATCAAGTGGCAGAGTGCAACTCATAATTCTGCAAATGTTGGGAGGCTTCTCCAGACTTCTGCTTTCAGGTTTTTCTTCCCCAGGTGTTTAAAGGCAATAGTTCACTCTGAAGCTACAGACCTTCATCCCAGTGAAGTCATTGTAGAATTTATCAACGGCAACGACAAATTGTCGGTATAATTAAAGGCAAAAATGGTTGTCCTAGTTGTCCTTGCCATGAATAGACTTCGCAGAAGTGTAATCTGACATTTGGCATGCATCCTCCACAGCCTGGCAACCCCATCGCAGCCAGTAAACCAATCTTCCTAAATCCTCCTCCACTGAAAACAGGCAGAAAATACATTTTTCATCTCGTTAAAGAACCCATTTGTACATTTTTTTTGTGTGTTACAGGACAAACTAAAAGAAATCAGACCCCCTTTACTGTGTTTTCTTTTAGTTTGCACATGTCTGTGACTCTGACAGCATGAATTCCCAAAAGGTGAGACTATTATCTAAAGAATTCCAACTAAGGAGTGCTTTTACGTCATCTGTAATGATGCCGTGTCCTATCAGAGGGTGAGGTGTAATCCTAAATACCAACAGCATAATTTTTTCCATTTCGAATAAAGATGATCAACTCTTTAATCAAGTCATATGTTCAACTGACAGTAAAGAGAGCAACTTTATGCCTCTCTAACCTTCAAACTCAGTTTCTTGAATTAAAATTAATTTCAAGCGGTTGATTAATTTACTTCTATTAATTTCTAATTACCTAGAGAAGACACACATCTCCTCCATCTTTTTAGAGATGGGATGCAGACATTGTGTAGGTCGTATATGAGCAGACTGGCTCTGTCCCCACATGGACATCTGGGACCCCGACTTCATAATGTCTTACATTTCTATCTTTTCTGGGTTTTGTCAAAATGAGAATGCAAAATCAAATCAAATCAACATAGATGTGAGATGGCTGCAGTCTTCCTGCTCTGCCCAGCTGTTTCCCAAAAGTGGCAGCTTGGCTTGGGCCAGCCACTTGGTTTTGCAATTAACAATAATTACAAAGCCTGACAATGTTCCCGCCGTTTATCAGATAGAGAGACAAGTTTGAACAGGCCTGACTAATCAGCCCATCGCTTTCCATTTGTTTTCCGGGCAGACATCAGTGGGGACAGAGCGATGAGTCGGCCACGAAAATCACACCGAGGCTCCGAAGGGCCAAATAGGTCACTGCTTCTTCCTGCTCACAGAGTTGGACGTGTCCCTGAGCAGATCTCCTGAGATAACCTCCGGTTCCCAATGGACCGGGCAAACAGGGATACAAAACCAAAGCACAGCTGGAAATGAGCAAGGCTCAAGCAGTGGTTGCTAGCTTATCTACAAGATGAACTCCCCCCAAAAAAGTACCAGCAAGTGCACAATTGGTAGGAAATAAACTCATTTGTATGGTGCACTTAGCATCAAAAAGCGGAGAAGAAGGGGCAGAAATGGAGGATGTGTTGACCCTTCTGAAACGACGCCGACACTGGACACATGGCGTCCAAACTCCACTGATATCAGCCAAAAGACTGAAAGTCTAACAGAGAGACTCAATAGAAATGTAAACCCAACTCTAGCCTGCGTTTTACTGGCAAAGAGAAAAAAACCTTTGTGTACCCGGCACCAGAAAGAAGGACAAGGCAGGCATTTACTGCTTTTTCCCTGATCAAATACTGCCATCTAGTGTACATTTAAAATGAAAAAAACAAGGTTTATTTGAGTTATCATTCATGCAGAAAAGTCAAGATGGGGGAAAAAAAACTCCATGCAACCAAGTATGAATATTATTGATGTTTAATTATTGAGTTTTTATACGTATGTACTCGTGGAGAAATAATCTAGCCCCTGTTTGTGGATTCACACTCAGAAAAATCCTTCCAAAATGTTTCTGTGCTCGTTTAACTTTGCTCTTCCTGTTCCGTGGCGTTTTCACACAGCCTGCTCACTCATCATCTCTGGACGGATGAGGGTCTTATTATCAGTGATGTGCTGTGCTCAGGGGCCCACTTACACCATCCACTTCCTTCAAAGATTAATGGACCTTGTGTTTTCACTTAAAATCCACATGTGGGATAAGGCTCTGGAAAAAAAATCCAAAACACCCCTTTAGGGTCATTTCACGGTCATTGTGTGGAGCGGAGGGACGATGCTGCTCTCTTTTTAAAAGTTCGAACCACTCCTAAAGCAATTTAGCTTTTCTCTTCGAGGTTTACCGACTGTTTTCTCCACTGAGCATGCTCAGTCCGGTCCAGCCCTTTCCAGCAGTGTGACCCTGCCCTGGTCCTGGAGGCCCACTGACCAGCACGTCGTCCAGATTTTCCTCCTCCAGAACACCCGATATGAGTGAGCTGTGGTTCCGGGAATCCTCAGTTTCCTCCTTAAACTGCACAAAGACTGGACAAAAAAACGTTGGTGGTTTTTTTAAAAAAAGGGAGAAAATGCTGTGAAACTCTACACCTTTGTTGTCTTTGTGAGATTTACAGCCGGTCAGTTGTTGGGCCTGACATTACCCCCTAAAGGGGGGGGAATGTGAGTGTGTGTGTGTGTGCGTATGTGTGTGTGTGTGTGTGTAGGTGTGTGTGTGTGTGTGTGTGTGCGTCTGTGTGTGTGCGTGTTATGAGTTAGCGGCATTTGTGTGGACATGCTTGTCATTCCATCAGCGTCCACCTGTCCCTCTGTCCATCGGCCCCCCCCCACCCACACCCCCCCACACCCCCTACCACCCCAAGTGTCTGCCCCCCTGCTCTTAAAGTGTCTTAAATCTTAAAACTCAGCTTGTCTCTTCTCCTTTACCGGCTATTTGCTCGTATCAGGTTGTCGTCACTGGAAACACAACTTATCTTGTTGTTGTTCCACAATAAAAAAAATAAAAAGAAACCTGCACATCCAGCCTTTTTTGTGTGTGTGCAGAACCCCTACACGTGCACAGGCGCACGCTCCCAGCTGTCTCCCAGCCTTGAGGTGCTCCGGGGGCCTGGGATGCTGCGTGGGGGGAGGTGGGAGTGACGTTTGCAAAGAGAAACGGGAGCTCAGAGTTCACACAGTGCCTGATCCCTGTGCCACAGCCTCAGTCTGCTACCGCTCCACCGCGATAACGGGGAATGTCTCGGCCTTCTAACCGGTAGAAAACGCCCTTTTTTTTTAAACGGATGCTCCGGATTTTGGCCCTATTCCAGAAGGAGACATGAACCTGACCAGGGTCCAGATCTTGCTGGCATGGATTCTTTGTGTGTTTTCTGGTAAGTCCACATTTGTGGTCATGAAAAACCCAATTTATGAACATCATTATTTAATTTAACCTCTTAAATTTTTTTTAAATAACATTTTACTGTGTTTCTCAGCTGTCAGGTAATGCATCTTGCCAGTCGTGTTTTTCATTTAAAGGCCTCATTGCCAGGCAAAGTCGTATTTACAACGAGGGGGCCGTGCTTGTGATTCGTGCAAATGGCTTTGTGAGTTGTTAATCATGAAGTATGCCTCATGCCCCATGTGAATTATGTGGGGATCTCACAGGAGAGCGAACAGTCGTGTGAAGTGGCCACCGTCAGAAACGGGAGACGCCGGCCTGGCACATGGCCCCAAAAAGTCCACGGCAGCTAGTTTAAAGCCAGCCGAAGCCAGGAAATACGTTTCATCTTATTCCCGAAATACTCTGCAGGAGAATTGTTTTTTTTTCTTCTCAGAAACACCTTCAAAAACGGCGAAAAACCAGAGAACAGTCCGGTTTTGACTCCGGTTTTGGGTTTAACTTAGTGAGTTAAATCCAAATCAAAGCGCTAACTCCTCCATTATTTTTTTTAAAAGATGAAACATTTCTCTTACAATGGCCTGACGCATTAACTGAAGGACAAAAAAAAACTGTTATTGAAGGAAAAAAATCATTTTCATCCACACTTCAATGAGCATGTTTTATAGATAGAATTCCACCTGCAGTTTTCTTTGGGTAAAACATATTTCTCAGGGTCCTTACAGATTAAATTTTGGCTAAAAAGGACTAACATGTACACAAACCAAGGACATTTGACTGGACGATGACCCACTAAAGTCACATTGAGGGGATTTAAATGTGACCTTTCAAGCACTAAACAATCCAACCAGCCGACTACCAGATATAGCTTTCATCCTCTATTAATTCGAATTTAACATACATTGCGAGATTAATTGTAAGTAAACATATAGACAAGAATGTATGATTTCAATTTAAATCTGAATTGCCCAACTGGATCAACTTCATTTAAATCATTCTGATTACAGATCGAATCCACAGTAAAGATTTCTGCACTTCCCAAACTTTTTTTTTCTTTGTTTGTTTAGGTCATTTTCATTTCTCATCGGCGTGCAATATGTCATGTTTTCCCGCACATGCTCCCTCCCCTAAAGCGCTCAGCGTCTGCACCGCAGAGATTGCTTGTCTATTAATGTGAGTGGAACTTACATTTATTTCCCCTTTTCAGTTCAGTGAACTGAGCAGGGGCTGATTTACGACGCTCACCGGTGACAAATTGAGGCGATGGCCAGAAAGAGGTGGCATGTGGGGATGAATAGGCGCGGCCTGTAAGGCACCAGTTGGGCATTATCTGCATCGCTGCAGATGTGTAATAAAAATGAAGCTCGCTAAATCATTTGGAGAGCTTTATTATCACATGCGGCATGTTCGCTTTGAATAATATATGAAACTTTTTTTTTTCATTATTGTTCTCTAGACCTTTACAGGAGAGACGAGCGGCTTCAAAAACTGGACTTTTGGTTCAAAGTCTGTTTATTTAGTCTAATCACATCTTTAAAATGTCTTTAAAATGAGTGAGCTGCTGTTTTCCTGCAAAAATGTTATAATACCCCAATTTAAATAATATTTTCAGAAAGAAAGAAAGAAAGAAAGAAAGAAAGAAAGAAAGAAAGAAAGAAAGAAAGAAAGAAAGAAAGAAAGAAAGAAAGAA